AATAACATTTTGTAACGTCTGCTGAAGTGCGTTAGAGCATCGAAATTATTTCATGGGAATGTTCATTTTCGTGCGTATAAACATATGTACATTCTAAGTATAGTAATACCACCACTTGTAACAAACATTTACATAATTAGTCATAATTGCACTTTCTCTCGAAGATTTAGTTTCTTGCTTTAGATAATTTGAATTTAACTTGGATGAATGTTCTACTGGTCTTAATACGAATTTTCAGATAAACCCTATTCAAAATATATGTATGTTGTAGACAAAAGTGAAATTCAGGCAAATTTTAAATTTGTCTAGGCAAAACTGTAATTTTAGTTTTGACCTATCAAAACTTGAGCCTACATTTAGAATTTGAGTTTATCTGAATATAATTAGACAAAAGTAAAATTTGACACCATCTGTAAATATTTCTGACTCCAGTGGGTAACAGTCAGCTATTATGTGTTTTAAAGCAAGGAGAAGGGGCTGATGTCATTTTGAGTGGTTTGAAAATGATGAGAAGTCACTGTCTGAAAATCATCTATAAACGAAACAGACAAAGACTCAGTCAGTCACTCTTCTGAAAATTCGTTTTAACGCGAGGTTAGCTGAAAACATCTTTTAACGAAAAATTACGAAAAATTTACCGCGAGAAATTCGTTTAAAAAAAAGCACGAGAATCGCGTTTGAGGTAATCATAGGTTGAGTTAAATGCGCTAGATTTTTCATAAACAGAGTTTCGCGCGATACTTTGAAGCTAAACTCGCGTTTTTCGCGGTTCTTGAGCCAATCTCTTGTTGTAGTGATGGTATAGCCGCAATAAACGAAATTTATATAGAAAAAATCCGAAGTGCCCATTGTATGTCTGATATAGTTAAAAGCTAAGTTTCCCGAAGCAACTTTTTGCGAGGAATCCAATGACCGTCTCAGAAATTCTTGAAAATATTTCTAAACCAAAATAAGTACCTGTTTCTGACTGAAAATATATATGACTCATAAGAGTTGCGAGACGCGTCTCAAAAAACAACAGAAACGAACGTAACTTCATTCAAACGCGAGAATTAGTGTATTGTACTTTCTTAGAAAACCAAAATTGCAATTCCTACAAGAACATAACGAATTTATTGAGTTCTAGTAATGGGTTAGGGTAGAAACAAAATCTTCTTTTTACAAACGCGAGAAATTAAAGTTATTCAAACTCGAACGCAACTTTCTACAAGTGTAGAACACAAAACGCGACACACAGTGAAAACGTACGTTCAAAATGCGTTAAATTCCTTTCAATTGAGTCCTAAGCACGAGAACTTCGGTGCCGTTCGCGAGTCCTAAAGTTTATTGCGACTGAAAACGGGTTTGTAAAAAGTTATGATGGTCATAAACGCGTTTCTCGCGAAATATTGATGGCAAAAACGCGGTTTTGAGTAAAGCGTGTATTTAAAGGTCAAGAAATTCGCCGTATTCATGGTGAAACTGTCTATTCTCGCGCTCTATGCATGCTAAAACCGCGGTAGAACGAAGTTCCAAAAGATATAGATGATTGACTGGGGAGCAACAAGTAAATCTTTATTTTTCTTACTCTTTCAGCCTTTTTCGAGTTTGTTTTATTTATACGTAATGGAATGGGTTTGTCGAATTAATTTAAACAAACAAGCACAACTCCACATAAAGAGTTTTGGGGATATTTTTGAAATTTTTGAAATTTTATTCTCCTAAATCTTTTTCAATAGCCACGGAATAAGATCGTAAAAAGCGCTGTGTACACTCAAAAATGCGTGACGGCAAACGTGCAGCAACCTAGCAGGATAAGATGTGACCTGCAACCTGCGGAAAAGATATGAATTGAAACTAAGTGTAATAACTTATATTAAATAGTCAATCAACTTCAGCTGTACAATATAATAGAGTAATAATGTATCCTAGGTGTCCGGTCGCCTTTTTCGTTTTTAATATTTGTTGTAGAGTCAGGATCATAATTATAATCATTTCTATGTACAATTTAATATAATTTAACCTCTAATCTTACTGGAAAAATTCGATGAAGATGGAACATCAGTAATAACATTACCTTTTCGGAGTAATAATGCTTTATGAATATTATCATACGTTTCTCTTACAAGACCTAATTTCTGTTGATATTTTTGCTTTAAAGAGCAGGTGTATTTTTCTAACTCACCATAAAAAGATTTTTCATCAGTATTTGTCAAAGAAACAGCAGAAACTGTAGACACAGTGGTTTAAAACAGAAGGTATAGGTGTAATTTCAACTGAAGAAGACATTTTTAATATAAGAATTTTACTAGATGTTTTCATCTCTTATATACTACTATCCAGCACATTTTTAGTCAAGCTAACTTCCAGTAATACAAAATGATGTAATAACATCTCTACTAATAAGAAAGAGCGATAGTCCTTGATATCTACAATGAACTGTTACTTATTCATATCGTCAACTTAACAAATGCAATAACACTACAATAAACTGGACAGAAAAGAAAAATATCTCCGTTTTCATTTCCGACGTACGTCTTGCTAATAAAACAGTACGTTTTTCGTCATAGGAACGACATATGATATAAGCTCTATTCTCTCAGAGTATAAGCAGAACAGTATTCCGTTCTAGTAGTCTAAACTGAAACTGTCGAAAAACACAAAATCAGTTTTAACGAAAAGAGATTCGAACACATGCACTTAGCTTTGCAGTAAACTGCAAAACTAAATCTACTGTTCTGTGTCTATAGCACCGAATGAAAACCTATACTAGGTGAAATAACCCACTCTGATTGTTTCCATTCATTTCTGACAGTCCTAAACCTAACGGCAGAGGAATGCTAAGGCTTCAGGAAAAATGCCCATAGCGCACATATATAGAAGATTTGAAAGCATAACTTGGACTGCTTTTATGTGGTAATGTTATTGATACTTATTGTTTTTTTTTATTTGAGGTACACTCAGTTATTATTGATTATCAGCGACTGAAAGTCAAAATAACCAAAATAAAATGAAGCTGTGTTGAGACTTATAATTGCTGCACAAAAACACTATCAGATGGTGGCACTGCACCATTAGAAATCTGCTTTTTCTGTTTATGTTTCTAAATAACACTGTGTTCTTGTAACATAACGAAGGACCTCAAATACATAGCAGTGCTCTTGCAAAATCGGAAAGGAAAAGTACTCTGCCCTGCGGTTACCGTTAGCGGTGTAGGGTACTACCGAATTCATAGGTGAATATCTTTTCTGTTGAATGACATTGCTATTCATTATTAGTTATTAAGTGCTAGTCGGGCCAGAAGGTTTGCACGAATTGCTTGAGCTCTTCGTACAAACAACTACCACACCAATTCATCATGACAAAGAACTGGGTGTATCTGGATCTATTGTTATGAAACTTATAGCAAAATATTTACACAAAAGTCACAATTTCACAATTTATATGTCGTTAGCTGATACTCTAGTTCTGTTCTATTTGAAGCATTACACTCTATGAAAACTGGAACATGTGGTACTGTGAAATCAAATCGAGTAAATTTACCTGATTTTCGAACAATGAAATTGGAGCAATACTAGCAGGCATTTAGACACACAGACATACTTTTGGCATTCAAATGGAAAGATCGACGTGATGTGCATATTTCATCTATTCACGAAACAAACTTGATACCTACAGGCAAAATCGACCGCATCACCAAAAATCCAGTAATGAAATCGGTTTGTATCAGAGAATACAATGAAAATATGGGTGTTGTAGACAAATCTGATATGCAAATCAGTGTCTCGGAGCGCATACGGAAAAATTATAGAGTGGTATAAAAAATTTTTCATCCATTTGCTTGATATTACTCTGCTCAATGCCTTCATTTTATACAAGTTCAAGACCAGAAGAAAATGCATCTTTCGGACTTTCGACTAGAAGTGATCCGCCGAAGGTACCTCTGAAGGAACAAAGGGATGAAGATGCCATGTTTGCAGTAATACAACAAGAGGCCCAACAAAAAGAACTGATACAAGATATGAGTATGTTCAATGTAATGTTGGTTTATGTGCTGTACCTTGTTTCGCACTGTACCGTACTTTGAAAAACTTCTAAAGTTATTCATAGCAAGGCTGACGCAAAATTTGATTAAAGATCTGTGTAGCTACCAGGTTCATAGGGCAACTGAGTCTTTCCATCGGGACAGTAGAAGCCCACTAAACATTTGCGCTATTGTATACCACTATAGTAAAAGCCAGAAGTACACGGTGAGTTTGAGAGGTAACGATAATGACTGTAAGGGTGAGGGAAAGAAGTAAAAATGTAGACATTTTTAAACACAAAAAAAACTTCAACTCACACTTTGTCAGAATTTCAAGAGAATATATTTATAAAGCAGCATCTTGTTTGCTTCATTTTCTTCTTTATTTGAAAAGTAGAGAATCAAATCTGGATTAACTGATCCAGCTAATCGAGAATCAATCAGGTAAATCAAACGATACTTCAGAGAGGGAAGGATATTTAATCGAAATTGAGGTGAGTAGAAGAAAAGTGTGTTTTGAGTATGACTCATTACATAAAAGGCCTTTGTTTCAATGACTCTTCATGCGAAAAGTGTAACTCCAGCATACGACAGCGAATTCTTTTCGGTGAAAACACTTTGCTTTAAATACACTATTTTAAGAATTTTTTCTTGTTTCGGCCGCAGTAGAAGTTTCGATATTTCAACTTTAAATGCAAAAGTTTAAAGGCTTTATGACTTGCTAAGGAAAGACGGCGGCAGAATAGCAAGAATTTTGAAGTGTTCTCTAGCGTTAGTATCCATCCGCAGTTTACCTCTGGTTAAAGAGCAGCACGAGATAGATCACTCATTACTATACAACGGAACGCTGGTTTATAGAACATTGCGTTTTTATTTATCGACTTCATAAATAAAAGAATCGAGATTACATAATCAGGGACATTCTGGAAAAAACGACGTCAACAATCGAAAAAACTAGGCTTGTCCGTCTTTCCACCATAAACATATAACAGGCATGTTAACTGTAAGAGGAACATGCCAAGAATGGATTACTTATAACTAGCACTGTCAACGATAGACATGAGTATATCATCCACATGTGGTCTAACTTTGTAGTTGAACTTTTGGGTGTAAACAATGTACTTGGTACTGTTTGCAGCTGTGAATAGGATGTTGATGTTGCCAGTCCAATTCGATTATTTTGCATATCAAATACGTTATAGAAACGTCGCATGAAATAATCACCAATAATCCATATTGTTCTATTTTGTAGATCAACAATACCATACGTCGGTTGTATCACACTATAGCATATATATGGATCATTCGAACTACCAGAACCAGTAATAATCATGTACATCAATGGTGTCAAGACAAATTGACGGCCGCTGATTGTAAATGTAAGATTTGGAAATGATGATAATAGCTGTGTTTGACAGTTTAACGTATACTGAAAAGATAGAAAGAAAAGAGAAAGAATTGAAAGTTCGCCGTCAAGACAGCAGTCAAAGAAGGTTCCACTGGAGTTCTGTTTAAGAAAGCTATATGCGAAGTCACCAAACCGCTAATATAATCGTATGTTCCACCCAGTTGTGTGTTAATTTGATTTGCGTAATTGGATGGTACAGCAATTAATGTTGTACCACTATCTAGAATTGCGTTAATTAATGTGGCGATACTTGTTGTTCCAACACCGACTCTATCCATTGTAAATTCCCAATAGATTACTATTCCGAAAACTTTGAGTGCCATTTTTTAGAGACTTTAGTTTGAAAGTATTCATAAGCTTGGTCCACAAAATTTTTGAATAATTTCAAACCTTGTGAACTAACTGGTGCATATGTAAAATTGCCGGTAAATTTTGTGTTATCGTAGCCACCTAAGATCAATTCACCACCACTTGAACCTGTGGTCACTCTAATTATATATAGTGAAGAAGAAACTTATGACAAAAGTTTAGTTACTAGTATATACGACTTACGGATTAAACCAAAAACCAAATATTGGTTGTGTTAGTTGACCAGCTAGATACATTGACCATATAACGGGATATTCACCACCCTGTGCAATGTTTCGATATGCCATACCTATTAAACCGTCACTCACACGACTGGACATACCGTAGGCCGATGTGGCAACTGCAAACGGTTGATGTGATACTGAAATGCCAGAAATCTATTTTATACAAAAGAAAGTTTTGTTAGACAAATAACTTTCCGAGACAGAAACAAATTAACCGATCCACCTACAGTAATTGTGTCATTAGCCCATTTTCCTGTAGCATGGGAACCATCACCATAATATATAGTAAAATTTTTATTCCATAGTGTATAAGTGCTCGATGCTGATGAACTAAACGTATGTGTTCCGCCTAAAACAATTACATTTCCAATGGAATGAGCAAAAATGTCATACGCAAAAAAATCTATGCGATTTTCTATTGTATGTGAAAATCTAATTTATAATACGGTTATGTCACTACTTACCGCATGAAATCCCACATGTTGCTCCTGGTACCCATAAATCACTTGAACCAGTATCAAAATCAACATAAAATGATTGAGCTGGTGTTCCGATGGTTATTAAACCAATCCAATAACTCTATGCCACACAAGAAAAAACAAAGATGTGCAGAAGTTCATGCAGAGAATGTTTTTTGCTGCATTTGACTTTAATTTCGTGACTGATATATCGCGTCCTTCACCTGCGGCTTTTATCTTGTTCTTCTATTTGTTCATTTATATAACAGTAACTGTTGATAGAGAACGGTAGAATGATCACTACTCTGTTCGTAGTTTTTGGATTATACAGTAGAAATAGTTTATTTCTATTTCACATTGTTCTCTGTACAGTACACATGCACTCAATAAAATCAAATGAGTGGTGTGCCACACAGACTTTCGAAAATTCGTAAAAGAAATCGTTTTACTTACGCCGTGCGCTTCATCCAATAATCTGTCTGTTCCGAATAGCTTGCTCACTCCCAATTTAGTTTGTGTTAAAACTTTGTTGTTACAGTCTTTTGGTTCTACTGTACTTGTACCATCACAACTACGATGACATTTGAATGATATCTGTTCACTAGTACCAGTCAATGTACAATTACGTTTCACACGTTGAAGTGGAATACTATTTGAAGAAGAATGCATACTGTGATTTATGACACACAGAGACAGTCGAAAAACTACATTACTCACTGTTTTATTCCTTTCGTATCATCTTTCACTCTAGCTGTTGGAGTTGTTGCAGCACTTACAAACACTGCTACTACTGCTACTAGTGTCAATACTAATTGGTGCATGGTTCAGTGCCTTACGAACAAGGAAGTTCACAATGATAATGAGACACCAATACAAGAATAATAAAACAAATGTTTCCTTTTTATTTGTTTTGTTAGAAAACAAAATTTGACAAGTAAAAGTGAATGACTGTTGCTAAAATAAATGATACCTCTTTAAGTGAATAAGAACATCACTAATAAAAACAAAACTTTCAAAGTGAGTTGGTGTTTTTTCTATCACTTCTATTAAGTTTTCGGTTTTTTCCTACTCTTCAACTGACACATATTTTTACTTTTAAAGTAGAACGTAAGAAATGAAGTATAAAAATTTTATAAACATTACATAAAATACTTTAACGTACTTCAAGTTCTTGTTAGTCATACCAATACATACAGACCGCGCAGTGCATTCGCAAAACAAACATATGGTACGACTAGATACCATACTTCGATCTTCTGTGTTTCGTATATAGCTACACTTCTTTGTTTGTAAGGCTCTCAGCCACGCACCTTTCGTATGATTTTTCACTCTAGCTGCAGGAGTTGTTGCGCACTTACAAATACTGCAGCTACTGTCAATACTACTTGGTGCATGGCTGAGAGCCTTACAAACAAAGAAGTGTAGCTATATACGAAACACAGAAGATCGAAGTATGGTATCT